ACATTAATCAAGAGTTAAAACTTCCTTCTCTCTGTTTTTAAGTATGTCTAGGAAGACCACAAAGCTTTTAACATCCCATTATTTTACCTTCTGCTTTCTGTAATTTCTTCATTGCTTCATTCAGCTTTCCTTGTCCAATCAATGCACATGCATTGTTATAACACAACTCATAGGTAGCTTCTCGAAGGCCCAAGTTTTCCTAGCATGAAAAGCAAACATAAACACCAGCTGATCTATACTGGCTACAGACACAAGCTATAGCTTTCAGATACATTCAAACTATTCCTTGCAAAATAAGTATGCTACAGAAAACTGTTTTAGAGGCAATTTTACAAGGGCATGCAACTGGCAAATTTTAAGCCACAGTGCAAAGTATTTTCCTTTCCGCTGCACAACAAAGTAAGAGGCAATCAACAAGTGAGCAAGTCACTTACTGGCATTACTCTCTCCCAAGTGCTCTGTGCTGCCACAACAGCAGAGAGGTTGGTTTTTCGTTCTTCCTCATATTCATCCTGGGAATTGCGGATGAGATCCCGGTATGCAGCCAGACAATCATCATAACGCTCCAACCTGTACAACTGACAACAGCAAGGGATTAGCCATCAGAACAGCATTTCCTTGCCTTCTTTCTCCCTCCTCACAGGCTCGCTGCAGCAGAGCATCATATGTTTCAGGTTGAACATTATGTTTGCATCTACCTCTAAGTGCAAATTTCTATACATGAGATTTGCTAGGACTCAAGCAATGAGAACAGATACCTACACAGAGACTCCAGAATTTTTACTCCTAAAATAGCTTCTTCAGAAGCAGAAATTTAAATGGTTTTATTCTCAGACAGCTTTCTTCCAGATTAATGAGAAAAGTTAAATTCATAGTCTCTCAGGCAACCAAGAGAAGATTTGTCCCAAATGAGTGCAGGAGGACAAGGCATCCAGCATACAAAACTGCCACCAGGAAGAAAAGTTTGTTATTACCACTTGTCCATAAAGCTCCTTCAGTTTGTCTGTTTGTTGACTGGCACTCTGAATGGTCTTGAGAGCATTTTCAATGCGATTCAACCTGTATTCACAGTAGGCTTTCTCAAAGGCAATAACATCACTGCAAAGACAAGACAAAGGTTAATAGCAGGCTGCAGTATTCATGCAACAGCTTTTGCCCACCTGAACACACTTGTTTAAGCAGTCCTTATCAATCACAGACTACTAGATTCCCAAAAAGCCAAACACCAGAGGTAAGCACATGACCACAGGTTACTGAATTATTTATCTGTTGAGTACTGTAAAAATCTTAAACAACCTCAAAACAGCAAAAGAACCACCACCTTCCCTAGGATACAGAGACAGGTGGTACTGGCAAGCAAGAAACTTGTATACAAGTCTATGGGGCCAGATGACATGCATCCCAGGGTTCTGAAGGAGCTGGCTGATGTAGTTGCGGAGCCACTGTCCATCACATCTGAGAAGTCGTGGCTGTCAGGTGAGGTCCCCAGTGACTGAAAAAAGGGTCACATCACTCCCATTTTTAAGAAAGGGAGCAAGTAGGACCTGGGGAACTACAGGCCAGTGAGTGTCACCTCTGTGCCTGGGAAGATCATGGAACAGATCCTCCTGAATGACATGCTAGATCACATGAGGAATGAGTGTGTGATCCAAGACAGCCAGCATGGCTTCACCAGGGGAAGGTCATGCTTGACCAATCTGGTGGCCTTCTATAATGGGGTGACAGCATTGGTGGACAAAAGGAAGGTGGCCGATGTCATTTAGCTGGACATGTGCACAAGGCCTTTAATATGGGCCTGCCCCGCATCCTTATCTCCAAATTGGAGAGATGTGGATTTGAAGGATGGACAACCCAGCAGATTAGGAATTGGTTGAAAGGCTGCAGACAGAGGGTAGTGATCAATGGTTCTGCGTCCAGGTGGTGGCTGGTAATGAGCGGTGTGCCCCAGTGATCTGTCTTGGAGCAGTGCTCTTTAACATCTTTATCAATGACATCGATGCCAGAATTGAGTGCACCCTAAGCAAGTTTGCTGACGACACCAAGCTGAGTGGTGCAGTTGATATGGTGGAAGGAAGGAATGCCATAATCCTTCATAATCCTTAAGGTCCCTTCCAACCGTGGCCATTCTATGATTCTGTGATTATAAGAGGGAGAACTTGGAGCTTGTTAAATTTAGGGAAATTACTTCTCTCCATCCTATATCGAAAAACAAGCTACAGACTTAGATTCCTTTCATCCCAGGAAAGAAGTGATTTGTGAATAAGATGACAATATTTATTCAGATGTGAATATAAATATGGAAGCACTTCACTACTTCAATACTACAATGCATTTTTCTGGGAAGCTCCTTAACAAAAACAGTATCTGAAACAGAAAACTGCTGCTGCCACACAGTTCCTGGGTAGCAATTCTTATCTCAGTCATTGCACAATGAGTATCTTTATTAGGAAGAGAATTAAATCTGCTTAATGACATAAAAGGGATACAGAAACTTGATTTGTACTAAAACACAAGTTGTCTTCAAGGTCTTGATTTGGAGAACACATACAAAGGGCTTGCACTGTCCTGATAGTTAAAGAAATACCATCAGTATGGCAAAGAAAATGACCCCAAAGAGCAGTATGATGATGTAGCAGAAATGCTAAGTCACGGCCTGAACAAGTGATTCAGCACCTGGTGAGAAGGCAGGGCCAACCAAGGGGAGCTCAGGTGCATGCAATCCACCTGAGTGACTGGAAGAGGTAGATCCAGGATCCACCCCTTCCCAGATTTCATTTAAGGGCTGGCAGTGGAGGCAAGGGTATCTCTCTCTGGGGATTCCTACCTATCTGAGGTCTTCCAAAGGTATGTGGCTCTTTTCTTCCATTTCTATGTCTGTAGTTGCTGTGTTTGGGCTTGTTCTCATTTGCTGTAGCCAAAGGCTTTGCCACCTTGATTACTGTGGTACATTCCATTACACCATTACAGATGAGAAGGCTGTGCAAAGCTAACAGCTTGCTGCTACTAGTAAGGGCTTCTCCCTCTTCTCCCTCTTCTCTTTGCTCCCACAAAAACCATCTCCTTCCCTCCATTAACTATGGTGCTCACCCACGTCAATAAGGAAAATCAACTAATGGAGGTAGATACTACCTAGAACCAGATAGAGGACAATCTCTGTTACTAGATAAAAAACAAGCCAGTAGACCACCTCAGATTAATGCAGGCATCTCTCATGCTCAGAATAAATCAGCATTTTACTGAGAACCCCAACTGCAATGGCTCTGAGCATCTCCTGCTCTTGGGTTGTTTTGTTTTTCTTTTTCTTATTGTTACTGATTAGTTCCCTCCACCTGAAGCTGCAGGACTTATCAGGGGCTCACAATTTAATATTTTGTAGATGTTATGTTAAGACACAACTCACCTGGACAGCACTTTAGTGTGGGTGTTGATTACACTGAGGGCTTCCTTGAAGCTCCCATTCTGGATAAGACATACCACTTTACACTGAAGTGCAGTCACATCATCTTTGCTGATCTGCAGAACTGGAGGGGAAAACAGTTTTAACAGAAGGATCTAACTAGCAGACAGACTATAAAGTGCCATATACACTGTTCAAGCTGGAGAAATACATCTAACAGTTACATCATTTTAAAAGGGTTCTGGCATGGCTTGCTCATGAGAAAACCCTGCCAGTGTGAAAGAGCTCAATACAAGCACTGAACAGAACTGACTGCTATGGTAACCTGCCTGGAACAGAGCTGCACCGAAGGAGCTGTACACACCTGAGCAAACTTTTCATTGGCATTTTACTTCCAGACAGAGAACAGTGCCAAGATCTGTCTCAGTGCCACATAAGGCACAGTCAGGAAGAAAGGGTCTGGGCCACAAGTCTTACAGGGAGCAACTGAAGGAGCTGGGGTTGTTCAGCCTGGAGAAGAGGAGGCTCAGGGGAGACCTCATGGCTCTCTGCAATTGTCTGATAGGAGGCTGTGGTGAGGTGTAGGTTGGCCTCTGCCCCCAGGTAACAGTGAAAGGATGAGAGCGAATGGCCTCAAGTTGTTGCAAGGGAGGTTCAGGTTGGCTATTGGGACATGCTGCTATTAGGACATGCATCTTCACCAAAAGGGTGTGATGCGTTGTCTCAGGTGGAGGTACGTGCAGACGTGGTGCTGAGGGACGTAGTGCAGCGGTGGGCTCGGCAGTGCTGGGTGATGACATTAGAAACCTTTTCCACGTCCATGCAGGGCGCTTCGATTCCGGGGGGAGGGGTGAGCACGATCAAAACCCAGCAAGGCCGATTCGACACGCCGCTCCAGGCAGAGGAGGGCGGCTCGGTTCCCTCCAGGCTCCCCAGGGCAGCCCCGCTCCCCGAGCCCCCCTTCCTAACGCAGCACGAGCACACGACACGGCGGCGGGCCGGGCTCTCTCGCTCACTCACTCTTGTTGACGGACTTGAGCGCGCGGGCGAAGTCACCGTTCTGGCCGCAGCGGTTCACCTCGCTCCACAGCGCCGCTGCCGCCCCAGGGCCGCCCGCCGCCGCCGCCATCTCGGAGCCGGGAGGAGAGCTGCGGAAAGAGCCCCGGAAGCGGAAAGGCCGCACCGCCACGTCCCGAGCGTGGGCAAGGGCTGCCCGCGCTCCTCCCTCCGTTTCTCTGAGCGTTTCCCTTCCCCTAGCGGCGGCTGTCAGCCGACAGGAGCAGGGTGCACGTTAGCAAATGAATCAATGGGTCACGGCAGAGGAGGGCTACGAAGATGCTCAGGGCTGGAGCACCTCTCCTGTGAAGACGGGCTGAGGGAGCTGGGCTCGAGAAGACCTCATTGCGGCCTTCCAGCTCTTCAGGGGGAGCTCATGAACAGGGGTTTGATAGTCTGCACGTGTAAAGTGGCCTTATCTCTTCAAGGAAAGGCAGCACCGGTACCTGAGGGCAAATGAAACAAACTCGCTTGAGGACTGAGGCACCTGCTGCTGTTTCTTCAGCGGGACTGACAACCGTGTTAAAGAAAGAAAGTGCACCATTAGTAATTGAAACAAAACACTCTTTATTGTGAGAGTATTTCTGGATTAAATGTATAGAACTCGGACTGCCATTTAAAATTGTTGTTCAAAGCTGTATAGGGTGGCAATGCTGTCTCAGTGCCTGCTATGAGGGAAGATCACGCCTCTCAACTGTTGGCTCATAAAGCAGAGCTGGGCTGAGTGAAGTTGGTGTGCAAGTGAAAGAATGTCATGCTGCAACATTTAAAAAACAAACAAACAAAAAAAGTCCAACAAGGACACGGATGGTTCTACAGCCTGGAAATTCTGAGTAGCATTACCTTTGAGAAGCAGGCTAGCAGCACAGGAACTGTGATTGATCCCACCAATCCTACTAACCACAGACCAGGAGACAGTAAACTCAGATTTGTGCCAATCTGAAGCATTCCTCCTTTGGAAGAGCGAAGACTGCCAACTTAGCCAGTAGTTTGGAACATTCTTTTGAAGAATCTATTGCTTGGGGGTTGGAGATGCAGAAGTGTCATCAAAAAAGGTCAGGAAATGAATGATTTCACAGCCCTTCATCATCTTTGAATGTCACCATTGCAGCCAGTTTGATGAAGCACTTAGTCATGGCTGAAATATTTCCTGGTGCTGACTGGCTTCTGCACTTGACACCTATTTATTCCTCTACTGGTATGGATAAAATTGAGCTCTGATTTTATACACAGGATGACATTAACAAAGTAGCAGTGCTGCCCCTACTTGCTGGTAGAAGTTTCATGGTCATATCAAACAAGTTGCCATGATTACTATTTGTATTCAGATACTCAAGCTTTGTATTTTATTTACATCTGTGTACAAACATTACAGCTAAGGCCTGCTATCCTTTGCCTTTTCATTCTGCTCCACTGTTATGTAACATCTAAGCAATCAGCAGCTTTTATGCACAGTAAATTTCTTAGAACTTTTTAAAATATAGTTTAGCAGTAGGTTTGGTCAAGTTTACCAGTGTTTGTGGTACAACTGAACTTGGTTAACTAGCACTTGTTCACTACCTCAAGATGAAATGTCTAATGGCAAATGTCTTTAATGAAAAAATCCAGACAGTTGAGAGGTATGCTAAAAATGTCTTAAGTACTTGAAGATACATGTGTAATCTTACAGAACGCAAGTCTAAATTACAGGCATGACATTAAATCTTATTAACTCAAAGCACGTAAGAACTTATGAACAGTCAGTAAAGCCAGTTCAGCCAGTGACTTCCAAAAGTCATACATCAGCAGCACTGTGTGAAGGAATAAAAGTGTGTGTAGAGGGGGGGAAGAAAAAAAATTCTTAAACAAGTTTAACATAAAGTTTTAATTTACATTTGAAAAGTTTTATTCCATTCATAGTATGTATAAAATAAATTAAAAAGAGGAAGGGGAAGAGTTTTGTATATGCTTCAAATTAACATGTAGCAGTAGTTCCATAAATGAACATTTTACCCTCTTCATGGTAAAAAGCTGACATAAAAGCTCAAAACAATACAACAATTATAAATAGAATTCAAAAGATGTTTGTTTTAAAAAAAATGGAATTTATATATCATTTTTCCCCTCCCCCTACAACGCAATTTGGTTTTGCATGTCATAATATTACCACATTTACAGAGTATTTGAATGTCACATCCACACAAAAATCGATAACGAAGCAGGTAAAGTGCTAGCGGTGCTTAAATTGAGGACTTTTCCCAAATAACTCCACCTGCTTCTCAGCCTTTTCCTTAAATGGAGGCTACCAACATTCATCACCCAGTTTGAGGTACGGGCAGAAGAAAAAGTCTGTAACTGGTACACACCCACCCTTGCCTCTTCTAAAATCATAACAAGCTGTGTATCTGTAACTGACAGTGGTGGTGTACAATTGCTTACCTTAGTTCAGTTTGTATATAATTTAATCGCCACATTAGAAGAAATGAAGCACTGTATTAATGCTAAAATGAAACAACTTTAAAACATGGTTTCAAAGCAAGTTTAACATTCTTGTTTCAGCATTAAAGCTTCACATAAACACTGAACAGAACAAGAATGACAAACTAAGAGACCACCTAAAACATACTAAAGGTAAAAATGAAATCGGCTATCTCCTTACTTGATAAAAACTTAGAAACCCATCAGCAAAACGGTAGTACACTCAGAACAAACAAGGTGAAAAAGGAGTGTCTAGAATACTGGAGAGGCTTGCTACACTACTTCTCTTTATTGCCCATTCTCTCATTTGTATGGATGGCCACTGAATGACAAGATGTCTGTGATAGTTCTCTATCTTCCTTTCACCACTGCTGCCAGCTGAAGTCATCGTTGCTGCCAAAGACCAAGAAAAATCCTAGGATCGTAGCAAAGATGACTGTATTCCCCGTAAGAACAAGTGCACATGCGCCCCAGTAAATCTGTGAACAAGTGGAATTTAGTTAGATATACCTGAACAAAACACTGACAAGACAAAATGTAACATTTTCATGTCATGTTATAGACAAAAATTCAGCAACAGATCCATGATGAAAGACAATGGTACCTCATTATGCCAAGAAAGCTGGGTTTGGCTTACCTTAAAGGGTTTGACCAAATCATGGTCAGTCAAGCAGCACTACACTTTCTTCTAGCCTCGTTCAAAGTGCCAGCTAGCAGGCAAGGACACTTAGTCTTACATCCAGAAACAGTAATGTGAGGCTAGGCAACAGCATCAAGTTATTGCAGAGCTCAGCTATACTTCCCAGCCACAGGGGGTTTTTGGTTTTTTTTTTTTTTTTTTTTTTGGGTTTTTGGTTTGTTTGTTTATAAAGGCAGCCAAGGATGGAGGCCTATAAAATATCAGCAGATGTACAAGTAACAGTAACAAAAAGCTGTTTAAAAAAAAAAGAGGCAAATGTTTCCCAAGGGGAGTAGCCAAAGGGTGTGAGGCATTCAAACTGACTGGCTGGGCTGTTCTTGACTGAGATGTACGTTCCATAGTTTTTGATTTAGTATTCTCTGAAATTCAAGTCAAGGTCACCTTTTAAAGGATGCTAGTGGAAAGTCATGCACTGGGAAAGACATAATGACAAATCAGAAGATTAAAAAAAAAAAAATCACATGTTCTTAAAAAAAAAAAAAAAGCACTGTTATACTCAGTCTTCTTTAACTCAACTATTCTACAAATTGCCTTCAAGGTATTCTGTGAACTTCTGTATTTAGCTACTGGCCTACTAAGTTTTCTTGCTCATTTTTTTTCTGCATTGCACATCGGATGTTTGACTTTATACCACAACCACATAAAGCAATTGGCAACTATTGCACAGTTGCACAGTGCATGAAAGTTCTAACTTCACTTAATTAAAAAAAAAGTTTTCTAGCAAAGAATGTTTTCAGAGATTGAAACGCTACTAACCAGTTCTGCTCTGGCAAACACTATAGGCAGTCCAAATGCTGAGACAACAATGCCTGTTGTAAGAAATACAGCCAGCTCCTTGCAGGCGTTACTCGTAGCATCTGTGTCATCTACCAATCTTCTTGCTATGCAGTATGGGATAGGGGAAAGGATGTAAAAGAACAGAACAAACAGTGGCCAGTATTGGCTGAAAAAGAAAGAAGGAAAGTTAACGTTAACTTCGCTTACTTTCTGCTCTTCCCAAAAATCAATATGAGGTATTTTCCCCATCCAGTTCCCGTATTTGGGAAAGATGGGCACAAGCCCAAGCAAAGCAATCCCTTCAATTTGAAATAAAATTATATTAATCCAATATGCCATGCTCCAGCTGACCTCAATCATAGCAACAGAGGCCTCATTCAGAAGATGTTCATGAAGCAAGGTTTCACTGAGCACGCCTAAATCTAACACTACCTCGCATGATGATCTTAAGAGCTAAGTTTAACCTGTCAGCTTTACTTCTGAACTGCAGAGAGACCTTTGCAAAGTCTTCAGCTTATTTTTACATGTAAACTTTGAGTATATGCATGGGATCAGAGTATTGTTTTCTGCCAATACTCAGAAGCCATAGAGCTCCAAACCACTAGATATGTATTTTTTTGCTTCATCTTTTCAACCAACATCATATCTTTTATTGCCCACAGCTCACCAGGCACATCAATGTAGCTATGCATGGTTTGAGTGAAACTTAAATCGTGTTATTTGAAGTATGACAGTGTAATAATCTCATTGCTAAGAGTTTGTGCCACCGGCCCAGATTTTATAATAGAAGAGAGCTGACATAGGAGAGCTAGTCATGTACATGGAAAACTGTAAATGACAACTAGCAAATTTGATATTTATCTCATTGAATAAGTCAATAAGGAAGATTTTGATTTAAGTTGCAAAGAGTTAAAACCATTGAGCTGACTTTCCATGCTCTTTGTCTATTGCTTCCTGCCTCTAGGAAGCAGAGACAGGAATCAATAGGACAAGCAGACTGACAGCAGCTGCAGCTGTGTGAGATGTTGCTTTACCCAGCGTAGAAACAAGCCTCTCGCACACACAAGATGAATCACTCATTAATTATGAGCCAAACCACTCTGCAATCAGACGTGTCAAAGAACACGAAGCTACAAAAAGCAGACACGTTACTTGTACTGAGGAAGGGCGCAGCCCAGCATCAGGAACATCAGTCCCACCGCTCCCCCGAAGGACAGGCTGATCAGAGCTGCGGAAACACAAACGCAGAACAGGTGAGCACTGCGATCAGCTGCAGCCTGCAAACAACCAGAGAGGAGCCCCGGAGACGGGCTGGCCCTGCCGCTTTAGCCGCCAGCACCGCGCACGGGTCGAATCTCACCCTGCCTCCCCAGACGCCTGGGGGCTACAGCCGCTCCCACCCCACACACCTTTGATGCCGGCCATGGCGCTGCGCGTCCCGCTGCCGGGAAACGGAACTACGTCACCACCCCCACCCCTGGAAGAGGAGGGCGGTGCACAAGTCATTTCCGCTGTCCTCCCCTTCCCATGGGCTGTGCTCCGACCCGCGTTCCCGCCCCTTCCGGCGCGGCCGGCCAATGAACAGCGCCCTGCACCGGGAAGGGCTTTGAGTCGTGTGGGTGTGCCTTAGAGCTGTCATGGCGGCTGACGGGGCAGTTGCTGCGTTTTTCCTGCTCCTCTGCGCTGCTGCCGGCACCGCGTGGGGCTGGGACCAACAAGGTGAGAGCTGTGGGACTCGGAGTGTGCCTGGGGGCCTTCTGGTGGAAGGAGCTGTGGGCCTGCGACCGCCTTTTTTTCCACTACTCTATCGCTGTGACAACGGGGCGAGGGTCTGAGGAGTGGAGGCTGTGGGAAGGCCTCTCGTTGAGGGGGTTGAGGGGCTCTTCGGTCAGGTCGGCTGCTGGCTCGGCCGTGGTAACGGATGGGACAGAACGCGTTGGGGGGCGTTGAGAGCTCCGTGCGATTTCCCTCCGCCTCCAAGGGTAGGATGGTGGGATATGGCCGTACTGATCTCTGCTGCCCATTGCAGGGGTTCTGCTGCGGGACGTGCAGGTGCTCACTCTGCACCGGGGCCGCTACACCACAGCCCGGCGAACGGCTGCGGTTCCTCAGCTTCAGTGCACTGGAGGCAGTGCTGGATGCTCTGATATCCCTGAGGTTGTTCAGTGCTACAACAAAGGCTGGGATGGCTACGACGTGCAGGTAACAGTGGTTAAAGTCAGTTAAACTGATATGGCACCCTCCTCATACAGGGCTGGTAACTTGAGAAAGAGAAAGCAACCGGCCAGAGTGTTGTTTTTCTTTCTACTAGAGAGCAGCTAAAGGTTACCCTAAATATGGAAAACACTATTTGTGTGTGCGTGCATGTATGTGTATGTATATATATATATAATTTTTTAATGGATTATCCATGAAGGTTTTAATGTAAAAGCACTGCCAGTCAAACCTTCATTGGTATTAGCTGAAATGTTGTTTGAATATATACGACCAAACCCTTGAGAATGCCCTTGCTTCAGTGTTGACCAATGTATTCACAATTTCTAGAACATAAAGGATTACAAGTATTTAATTATGTCACTTCTGCCCCTTAAAAAAAAAAAAAAAGTTGAAACTTTTATGACTTCCAAGTTAATTAGGTTTCAGGATGATGAGTCATTGCAAGAGTTTGCCTACAGATATGATGGATGCTCCATCCCCGCAGACATTCAAGCTCAGCCTGGATGAGGCTCTGAGCAACCTGATGTAGGCGTCTCTATTCTTTGTGGGAGACTTGGACCAGATGACCTTTAAGAGTCCCTTCCAATTCAAATGGTTCTATGGCTTGCTCTTGTGTGTTAGTAGTTTACTTTGGTATTTCAATAAAGAGCTGTTGTATTTGACACTGCCTACCCTCCTGCCATTAGACTGACCAGGAATCAAAGCTGAAGTTTATTGTTGTAATTGATTTAGTATCATAAAAGTACAGCCCAGTCGGAATTTGCAGTGGGTACTGCTATACGGAATTGTTAATGGAATGCTGCATTTTTCAAAGTGTATATTTGTTACAGGTACTGTTCATACCAAAGTTCAGGTGACTCAAGGGAATCTGAAACTGAGAAGTTCATGTATATTCAGCTGCAAAATCACAATCTATTGCTAATTGTCACCTTTGAATCCCTAGTTATGTCTAACATGATTTATTTTTTATATTGGTCTGAACATAAATATAATCATGTGCACTGGTTTTCAGGCTTCCAAGGTCTATTTTTGTAGCTGTCATCAGGTCTGCATGGGTGAGACATTTCTTAAGTAACTGTCATAGACTGGATGGATTATTTTCAGAAGTGCTGCTGTACCCTAGAGAAGGGATACTTGAGAAACTCGTCCAGTGAAGAAATTGACTCGTAACTCTTGTGTTCTAAACAATTAAATCATTTTAACTTAAAGAGATTTTAAAAACATTCCTAGCTATTCTCAGATTCCAAGCCGTTTTCAGAATAGGAGAGCTCAGAAGTTCCCTATTCTATTACTTTTTATATGCTTCCTTGTAGATTACAGCTTTGTCTGCATACATTTGGGAATGCAGGCAGATATTTTCATCCCTGGAGAAATAGCTGCTACTTGATTTTGTGTTTACTTTTTAGTGGCAGTGCAAAGCGGACTTGGAAGACACTCTTCGTTTTGGACAAATTGAAGTGAGCTGTGAAGGCTATAATTATCCAGATGATCCTTACATCTTAAGAGGGTCCTGCAGTTTGCTGTTCAGGTTAGAGCTGACAAAGGAAGATGAATGGAAAGCAAAGAACTCTGGAGGCTTTGGTTCTGGCTATTATACATCAACAAAGGATTCTTCTCATTCTGGCGCTGGAACAATTTTTGTAATTGTTCTACTGATCCTTGCCTTTGGCGTATACAAGTTTTTCCTTAGTAACCAACAGCCCCAGCAGAGTTTTGGTGATGGTGACGGATTCGCTCGTCCTTTCTGGCAGAGTCATCAGGCGCCTCCTCCTCCTGGTTTTAAGTTCAGCTCCACAGGTAGGACTATAAGCCATTATTTAGTGCTCTGAAACAAACATGATCTTAACTTCGGGGTGTTCTTTCAGCTGTTGCGTTATCTCACCTGACTGTTGGCTTCTTCATAAATAATTTGCTAGAAATGAATATTATGTAGCAATCCTCAGTTTAACACGTGGTTTGCTATAGTCTCAGTGGTCAAACGATTTAGTTCCCAGAGCAGGTAACAGTCTATGCTGGACCTGCATCTTGTGTGGTGTCTTTCACCTGGAATTGGAAATTGTAGAAGTAGTGGCAAGACTGCTAGGAAAACATGCAGCTTTTTTCTTTTCCCAGAAAACTGGTCACTGTGATCGATAGTTATAGTACCAACGGCAAGTAAAACTCAGTCATCTGGTGTCCGACTGTTTAACCTCACAAATGTGTGATCCTCATGGTACTAGAACTCAAATTACCTTGCAACAAGACGTGATCTCAATTTTTTTCCTGTTATTTTTATTTTTATTATGAATTAGAGGAGCTGTCCTATCAAGCAGTAGCTAGAAAGAATTAAGATTACTTAGTCAAAAGCTCATGTTTGAATAATATTAACAAACAAATGTTAACGCTTTTGTGCAGGTTACTCATGCCACTTGCCAACAGGGGGTGCCAGCATAGCTCTTCTTGATAAACTTGTGTGGCGCGTTTGCAGCGCTTTCTCTTACGTACCTGGAGCAGAAAATTGGGGTTGGGTTATGAATCTGTGTTAACTAGTGAGTTTTGCAATTTGATTTCAAAATGGATATTTCAGACAGCCTTTCTATTCTGTGTGTGCATCAGTGAGTAGACTTGCGTATGCGTGCCACTTGCCTCTGGTGGTATTGTGGTCAATACTGAGTTCTGCTGTACTGGACATGGGCAAACCAAAGTAAACATTCAGTGTGCATGTGGCTTTAGTTTTAAAGGGAAGGATTGCTTTCTGTTTTTTTCCTGCCCTGTTCCTTGTGAATTAATTCAACTAATGTGCTTGAGGTGGACAGGAGTCTGAAATCTAGCAAGAATAGAGCCTTGAAAATACCTTTTCTTTATTGATTTTGAAAATTGAGAAACTTGGTTGGGAGTCCTGTGAGGATAAATTATCTGCCTTTAGTTTTAACAGTGGAGCAAAAGCATGCCTTAGAGTGTATAGGACTGTATCAGGCACACATCTGTTTTTGAAAATTGGGATGATAATGAAAAGTGAAGTAGTTCGGTTATTGATCTGAATATTTAATTTGCTTCATTTCAAATTCCCTTGGCATACAGAATATTTATACAGAATATTTCCTGTGAAATCATTTAGCTAGACTGTATTAATTACTTTCTTGTATTAGTGGTTTGTGGTCCTGAATCTACTCCAGGTTTTATCAACAAAAAAGATTGACTTCTGAATCAGTGTTCAGCCATGCTGCTTTTGAGTACATTAGCTCGTTTATCTCTCTGATTCACACAGCATAGTTTAATGGGTGTGTTATCCAAGGTGAGCTTATCTTTGTCTTAGTGCATTCAAAATGAAATCCAACATCAAGTCACACATAGAAGTCTGATTTCAACTGATAATGTAAGTCAGGATTATTCTCCTGTGATGCTTTATGATACTTGATTTCTGTTCCCCTGTCTGCCTGCTTGAGCAAATTAGTCTTTCTTCACTTTCTTTCCGATTTTAATCTAACTTGTCTGTTTATAAAATCTGCACGATCTGACTTCACTGTGTTTTGTAAACATGGAGACTGTGATACAGTGAAAGCTAATTTCTGGTGTAAAAATCTTTACCTCTGTTAGCTTGCTTCTGTTTGTTGTTTTTCTTCCCCCTGCTTTCCAAACTGTGAGGGCGCTTTTCAAGACAAGTTTAATCAAGAATTAATTGAAAACAAGAAGAGCTTAGTGTCTAATTTGCTATTATGTTTAAGAGGTGAGAATCTTATTGCAACAGACAGCCTGAGGAGTAAGTGCTATTAACTGATACTTTTTCTTTTTTCCATTTGGCTTAAGAAGACAACGGCTTTGGGACTCGTTCCAGTCATGAAACCAATTCAGGACCAGGATTTTGGACTGGCTTAGGAGCGGGAGGCTTGCTGGGCTACTTGGCTGGCAGTCAGAGGTAAAATAGAATGCTGTCAAATATTAAACATACACGATTTCAGTTGACATATTGTTTACATTTATGTTGTTTGTGAGTTTTCAGGTGTATATCATTCAGGCTGTATAATCCTACCGTTAGAACAGCTTTGAGGTATGATCTGTAGCTCTAGCAGCACAAACATTCTGAACACCTTTCTTGAGGAGAAAGATTTGAAGTTCTTGAGGTTCTTCATTCTACTTTAAGTGCATTCTCTGACCTGACTTGCAACTTTAAAATCAACTCTTGAGCAGTCCATATCCAGACTGCTTTAAAATACAGATAAAAATATGAAGCACAAAGCCACTTGTAAGTAATTCTCTTGTGTCAGTGTCATCTCTCCTGAAGTTAGTATGGC